ATCTTAGTAATAAGTTGCTCACGGGTAGAATAACCCCCCCCCCCCTCCCTCCTTCTCCATCACCCCCACTCCATTCACCCTTGGAAATAATTAATGGGTATCTTTCTTGTAAGTCTCTTCATAAATATAATTTCAAATTTATTAGCCTTATTCTTTTAAAAATTTATCCAGACATAATACATGTTACCTCGGAACCCACGCCAGTGCTTCTAGAAGAGAATTTCTTTCGACCGATTCTCACAAGCATACTATGGTAAATTTCAAATTTCTTCGAGACCATAAGCTCAACATCTGTAAATTTCTGTAAAAACTTTGCTTGCCAACAAAATACCATTCAAAGGACCATAAACACAATCTTTTTCTTTCTATAAAACACACGAAGATATCGCCAGTAAAGTTTTTTGTTAAACATCACGGTTTGATTAAGAATTATTTTATGTATCTATGCTTTAAATTTCCACTATGAGCAGTTTCTATTCTCTAAGTTTATTTTGATAAAGGTAACTACCTAGCACGAAGGCGTTCGAATTCGTGTTTAGAATTAAAGAAACCTGAATGACTTACTAATTGGTATAACTATATCAAGAATACATGTAGATTTTATTTTGATAAGATGTTTTGTGGGGCCAACCCAGTTTAGAAGTTTTCAATATTTACAAATTGTTTCTATTATTAAAATTTATTTTCCCCTTTCACCAAGTTTAAATTAATATCAGATAGAACGGAGGTGTTATATATTGGAGGTTTATAAACTCTATATAAATAATCTACATATTTTCAGTAACTGTTACACAAGCTTTGGACAGATACTAGCAAAAGTTATTTCAGTCCCTTATGCAACTCATGGCCCCGACGTAAACTACGACTAAAATAGTATTTTCATTACCAATTTAGTACAATTTACCCATTGACCACATGTATATTTAGTCAGATAATTAGTCAGATGTAAATTTAGTCAGATGTAAATTTAGTCAGATGTAAATTTAGTTAAATCTAAATTTATTCAGATGTAAATTTAGTTACATGTAAATTTAGTCAGATGTAAATTAATCAGATGTAAATTAGTCAGATATTTAGTCAGATGTAAATTTAGTCAGAAGTAAATTTAGTCTTTTATGTCAAAAAAAAAATATTGAAGAATAATTGTCGAAACCTACTAATATTTTTTGGATTCTGATCCTAACAGATTTATTGTTTTTTCTATGAGGTATTTACAGAATTCTTAGGACAAACCGAGAGTATTTGTCACTAAATAAGGATTGAAAATTGAATTAAGAGGTAACCCTATAGACATTCGAAGCCACCATTATTATTTATTCTAATTATAATTGACGTAACGAATATAATATAATATATTTAATAGGTTAGACTAATGAGCAATGTATTTATATATAAATGTTGTACACACGCCGGACACACACACACACTCCTACTCACAGATCAAATTCCAATTATACTGGCAATTTTAACCTTCGACATAAATAATACATTCCACTGCAGCTCTTGAAGACAATAGTTAAAATAATACAACAACGCAAACACCTATTTTAATATAGGAGATTGCCCAAAAGAAGATATCATGGAGCGCTTTAGTCGAACATTCTTCAACTGAGCTTTTAAAAATACGATCTCATCATAACATATGCAGTTTTGTTTTATTTTAACAATTACATGTGGTTTGGATATATCATGTAGGTCCGGGATATATTAGGTATACGCTTGCTGCAAGTAGAGATCAAAATGCATCTCCGTTGCCATTATTTAAATTCTTGGAACCTCAAAAAGCAATGTAACTGACAAAACCACAATTAATAATGTTTTAGACATGAAATGAGACAATTCGATCTCCCGGATCGTTCAAAATTGAAAGTAAATGGCAGAACAATTATTCATCTTAACATCGAGTTACTTATACCTCAAATGTTAGCTTTAAGCTTTTTGTGATCTTGCAAGATCTTGAATCCCCAAATCTGACGAGTCAGTGATATCCATCTTTAGTATGTTATATTACTAATATTAATACTTTACAGTCCATTTAATAGTTCATTGTTTAGAAATAAAATCTACATAAAGATTTCATTATATACTTTAATAAATATTATACTTGTTTATATCCACCGTATTTCTTACATTAAACACTCGTTACTAGTAATCCATCTGAGCCTTTCATTCAATAAACAAATATTCTAATTAAAATTAAGCCGATATCTGGACATAGCAACACCCCTCTGGTCATTTATCAAGGAAAGGATTTAGTGGAGACTACAATGGCTAGGGTCAATATCACGCCTGGACACAATAGCTTCATTACAAGGTTTCACGCGTCTCAACAAAGATGATCGTATCTCAATCTAACAAATCTGTAAAGGCTAATCGTAACCCGACATTGTTTTATGCTCAGTTCTGACTAGTATCAAGTGGTTGCAGGTGGTGGTCAAGCAACTGACCAATTGACCATTAGAAATGAGAAGGAGATGTAATTGTGACTGACCATCCCACTAATACAATATGTGAATCATTCATTACTAAATGATTAGTAGTATTATTGTGGTCAAAGTAAAAGTGAACGTCTTATTTCCAATAATTGGGTTGTTGAAGAAGTCCCTTAAGGATCTTAATTTTTCATTGTTCATATTCATTTCTAGATCATTTAGTTATTGAACTATTTTCTGAATTCTCGACAAGTGTTCTTGTACTTGTAAGTTTTCATAATATTGCCCTATTGACAACGCATCATTAGATACTAGCATTTAATTTTGTCATGGATATTGCTTTGTTATGTTTTACTATATAATATTTTGAGAATAGTTTCATATGTGAACAGAATCAAGATGTCCAGAATAATAACTTTATTTATAACATATCTGCAAATTAAAATACGAAAAAAACACAAGCATACTGTACTTTATCACATTTACATGCAGCCAATTGGCTTCGCAATTTTACCATTCGAACTTGTTCTAAGAAATCTGCTCATTTTACAGTAAGCTTGCTCAACTCAGATATTGGTTCACATAATATGTGTAGGAATTGTCGTGTACATCAGTCAGCAGTCTTCTCTTTTGCGGTCTGTACCTACCGAAGGATCTTTAACGTGTAGCTCACGGGACCTCGGACCATATTGCCTGTGTCAAGTCTAATTTTGCCGTAATTTGTACTTTACTTACTACATCAACTTGTACAAATGATCAGATATGAACACACATCGGACTGTCCTTCATTGCCAGTAGTCGTTTGGGCTACCCCGATAACCTACGCCCTGTTCCATACTTATAATAGATGTCACTGATTATATCACGTAACATCTTGACAGTTACATTTATTACAATATTAAATTAGGGGACATTTATTCAAGTCAGACTATTTCAGGGGTTTGTAAGTACAAATTAAATACCCGCCTAATATAAGCATTTACAATGTGTTATTAAAATTACTCTAAGGAAATTGCGTTGTTCGAAAACGATGAAGTCTGGTACACTGTGAGCTTCATATAGGAAGCTGCCCTGGCCAGTGCTTTCAAAGAGGGGTAAGGAAATATGTAAACCCCATCAAATCATCTGTTTTCAGGCAACAGTCGGCGAAAAATTTGGCAAGACATTAACCGCCGGTAAAAAGAAAAAAACTCGAGGACATACACCCCTGCCCTATTAGGAAATGTTCACAAAGCATGACTTGAAGCAGATGGCAACACTGTCACGTAAGATTATAGTATGGTAATTATTTATCAATCGGAGGTCAAAGGTTAAGATTCATTTGCATAGATACTTTCCCTCGAATGAAATGATTTCACAATCAGGAAGCAATTGAACTAAAGAATGTCGAATGGCGCACTGTTTTAATGGAAAGCCCAAGACACCTTCGTACTTTGGAACCTGCCGTTTACTCTTCAAAGCGGTCATTTAGATATCCCTTATTCATGCATATTCCCCGAACTATTTAGTTTATAAGAAATGTTATATTTGACGCGTTTGATATATGATAGTATATAGCGTTTATCATATCTCGCTCATAACTTCTATACATCTCTTTATCACCGTTATATTTGTTCTCAATTCATTCACAACTACAACTCTACACGAAATACTTATTTTACACCACTAGTTAGATTGGATAGGCAGTACCTTTGTGTTCGTGTGTGGAGGGGCCTTTACTTAATTACGCCTGATTGACAGTTCAAAGTGTGAAGGGGAGGAGCTAAGACGTTCATACAATTTATTGAACACAACAATCTTCTTTTACTTTCAAGTTAGAAGGCGTTTCCAACATCAACTGACGACAACAAATGCCAATCACGTTGGATTTTTTGGAGATTCGAGTTTTGGATATAGTGAATGTAATACTGGGTATATTTTCTATTTAGTTAGGATCCAGATCGGACCTACCTGTACATCTTATAGTACTAAAGGTGATGACCCATAACACACGTGTTGTTCTGTCGGAGACATTGTAATTATACATGACGTACGTTAGATTTATTTAACGCCCATTCTTCAACATTTTTTTTTGTAAATCTGTGCATCGAATGAATGTTAGTATATCTAAACAGTGAGAAGACATAATCTGTAAAAAGGTCAATTTGTAATCAACAGGTAAACCAGATATCAACACACGTGAACCGTTCTGGTGGCCCGAGGGCCGAATGTTTTGTGGATTGTTATAATGGAAGGAAAGGATAACCTAAATTTTATCAACACATAAGTTTACGGTGGTGAGGAAAAATGAAATAGGAGTAAAAGGATTGTTCAATTTTCAACAAGTGATGATATCATATTTAACATTGTTATCAAACATTTTGAAATTTAAGAGATAATCAGACAGGATTAATGTGCTAAAATTCTTTTTAAAAAATTGTGGAGGTTTTTTTCTTGTGAAACTTTAAACGGGTATAAAAGTGAACCATGGTTTTAAGTGACGGGACTCGTCGTAGCGGTTGGTTATACCGTCTACAAATCTTTATATTAACTGGATTTATTTTCATAGACTATGTCGTGGCTACGAAATATATCAGTAATATGTTCAGTGCTCAACAGCATCCACCCGATCCTTGTTACGAGGATTCGAACCCTAAACGATGTATTCCAGACTTTGTGAACGCGGCTTTTGGAATGGAAGTAGTGGCTTCGAGTACTTGTGGCTCACCACCAAGTAGGTACTGTAAGTCCACCACGGACAAAGAGGGCAAGATCATTCGAAACTGTTTTATTTGTGACGCAAATCATCCGAAAAGAAAACATCCGTCAAAATACTTAACAGACTTAAATAATCCCAATAATTTAACTTGCTGGATGTCAGAACCTTTTGTTCAGTATCCCAATAATGTAACCTTAACCTTATCTTTAGGTAAAAAATACGAATTGACTTATATTAGTTTACAATTTTGTTCAGCTCGTCCCGATTCAATGACAATCTATAAAAGTGTTGATTATGGTAAAACGTGGATCCCATTTCAATATTACTCAAGTAATTGTAAAGAAATGTATAATAAAGCCCCCAGCGCCATTGTTACGAAAGCTAACGAGCAGGAGGCATTATGTACCGAGGCCTACAGCAACATCGACCCCCTTAGTGGCGCGAGGGTGGCCTTCAGTACGTTAGAAGGGCGACCATCTGCTTATGCATTCGATCATAGCCCCGTACTTCAAGATTGGGTTACTGCTACTGATATTAAAGTTGTCTTTAATAAATTAAATACGTATGGTGATGAAGAGAAAGATGAAGAAGGAGCCAGAGAAAGCTATTATTATTCTCTATCTGATTTTGCTGTTGGTGGTAGATGTAAATGTAATGGTCATGCCTCTCAATGTATCCCATTAAAGAATGGTCGTTTAGGATGTGATTGTAAACATAATACTGCTGGTGATGATTGTGAAAGATGTAAACCATTCCATTATGATCGACCTTGGTCTAGAGCTAGTGCTAGAGAAGCAAATGAATGTGTCGGTAAGTTCTTAATTTTGTCATATGATTGCTGTATCATTACAAACACAACACAACACCACCTTCAGCAATCTTATCAGAAGCTTCAAGACAACACTGCTGAAAAAATCAACGCTTTTCATCCATGCACCATTTGTTCAAAATGAGAAACAAACAGCCTCAATACAACAAATCAATGGTTTTAGCCAAGTACAAAACTTCTACAGAACAAAACTGTTTCAGAAATCTACCACACAGGGACAAAATATAAGAGCAATAGAATAATAGTACCATACCACAATATTCATTCATATTAAACCACCTTGAATATTAAAACTTATTCTAAACAATTATCAGCTATTAATACATATATCACAATCATCAGTTAACAAACAAATAAAGAGATTTTATACCCAAACGTAAAAATACCAATATGAAACCCAAATAATATCGACAATATCATTGGACAATAAGGCCACAATCTTGGTGAAAACCTATCCAAATTAGGAACCATTCTACATAATTAATGAATAAAAAATAAATGACACAAGTCATATCTTTACGGAGAGAACGTTCTAGTAAGCTTTATAATTAAATCATAACATCTTAAAAGGCATCACAATCATATACACAAAACAAACGATAAATAAACCCGAAAAAAAAACAAAGTAATCGATGGACAGCGAAAAAAACACAGAAAATGTTAAATAAAAACCCATGAATGAAAATAGATAAATTGTTATCAAGAACAGAATAAAATTCACATAAAATTGTTTCTTGGCAATGGTATAATAGTTACCGGAAAGCCATTGGCTTGAGATAAAAGCCTCATTTTTCAAAATATGCACCAGCATGTGTACAATCTAGTAATTAGCTTGTCAGTCAATAACTGATATTTTAGTATCAGGAGTAGGGCTATTATAGTAGTAGGTTTATGTTCTAAATACAATATTTCTATGTTTTGTTTATGATTTTATTGAACATAAAATTGATATATTCAGAAATTCCTCGCAATTTATAGTGATCACCGTTATACAATTTATCATGAATTCAAACCATTAAGTTTATTGTGGTATATAGAAAATCTGATCTATATAAAATATATAGATATATTTATTATGAATTAATATATACTAAATAGATAATAAAAGGCTTTTCTATTAACAGAAGGTTAACTGCTTTTGAAAAGGTTCGCGTTCGATTTCATTGAATCAGTCAAGGCTAGTTCTGGGTTGTTTCTATCGCTCCAACTTAAACTTGTTTATTTGAAAGAAATTGTTAAATGTACTGTATGAAATTCTCTGTAACAAATCAGATTAAAGTGCAAGAACATCTGCAAGGATAGAGCAAAATACGTATCAGAATTGAGAGATATACGGAGCTGGAAATACACATCTTGAAAAGAACTAAGTTAGAAATACTTCCCAAAGGGATACAAATGAAATTAAATGGAGATTGCTTTTCTGAGCCTGATTGGGCAAATAAAGACGGAGTTTAAAGTATACCATGGAAATGAAATGAAATGAATGGATTTTTACGACCTACTTTTCTTTACCTGATTGGGCAAATGAAGACGGAGTTCAAAGTTTACATTGGAAATGAAATGAAATGAATGGAGTTTTACGACCTACTTTTCTTTACCTGATTGGGCAAATGGAAACGGAGTCAATGTTTCTCTTGAAGTGAATAAGAGAGGCAATAGAATGCTCACAGCAAAGCAATACAAACGACAGAGAATATGGTATTACAATAATATAGTAAGGTCAATTTGGAAATAACATGCTTCTATGCTATATGAATGAATTTTTGTGCTGACCTACTTCCGTTTGAAAAAGCCATAAAGTTTTTATATGCCACATATTGCATATTGTCGAATAATACCATTTACGATTAACAAAAGTTATTTGCCTATTAAAACCTAGACGTTATAATGCCATTTTCAATTGTCTGGCAAAATACTGACGTGTGTTAACAAAGACAAGTTGAAAAATTGACCAATACTTAATAGAACCCGACAGAAAAATTATGAAATTCTTTTCACTTTTAGGAGAAGAAGTTGCTGAGTAGACAATCTTTATTCAATCATAATGATAATATATTTTAACTTCCAATATGACAAGGCTCATTATACTTATCTTTTTAATATACAGCGAAATTGAAAATGAAGTTCAGACCATTAATTTTCTAACTTGATCAAGTTCCACGGTAAAGGAATTCACCATTTACTTGATACAATCTCATTAAAGAGACTCAGATAAAGATTTCAAAACGCTTTTCCTCTAATCAACTTTTACACTTAACTTTTATTATTGTAGAATTTCTATTTCTTTACTGGTTTTATGGTGAAATTATCTGATTCGAGTTGGCATGTTTTAAAAACTTCAGTCTACATGGTAGAAAATTTAACTTTACTGTCAAATTATTTCTATTTTTCTAGGCCGTTTGAAAAAATATTTTATTTAAATTCATATGAAAATATATGAATGGTATATGAAAGCAAAGGTGGTTTATTTTGTGAAGGAAGTATGCTATTTACATTGAAAATGTTAGTTTAAAACATAAACAGAAAGACGCGATCGTATAAACGATTAGTTGGTTCATATCGACTGCAGTTTAACACTGAAATGTAAAAGTGAATGGTTTTTAAACTGTTCTGTCTACAGGGAGATGTTTGAGTAGTTCTTTATTTTTATTTCTAATGAAAAGTACAGGTTGATATAGTTTGAATTCCTGGTGAGATTTCCGATTAATAACAGTAAAATACCTGAACGGATTTAAGACATGATAAAGATAATTTCTATACAGCATGTATCTAGATACATAGATATACTGATGTATAGTGCAGTTAGTTCACATTTCGAGACTCTTTTCACAAAAACTCTGAACTTTGAATTTGTTCATATGATTGGTCAATTACTAAACTGCTTTTAAATTTTACATTATTAACCAATCAAATTTCTGTTTTAAGTTAGGATTTGTTTAAATTAGGTTTTCGAAAACAAGGCCATTGATATGGTTACTTTTTGTAGACATTGTACTCTACGTTCTGGGTTTTGGTTTAAGTTTAACTTATATTTTGCACCAAAAATTGCTGAAAAATTGTAGTTAACATCGCTTCCAAATACCAATGAGCGTCTTTGTTATGCAAGATCCATCACTGCTTCATGTTTACGTTTGAATGGACAACCACAGTAATTTGGTCGTAAATGGACTGTACTGCTTTGGCGTTCGACAGAGTGCTAGTTTTCATGATAGTGAAATGTAACAGAAACTGTTAGTAAAGTCATGTGAGACGGTATTATTGACAGATTAACAGCAATCTCTGTATGAAAATATTAATTTATACCAATAGAACTTGTTGAAATCCTCTTTATCTCTTTTATACTTACCTAACTTCTGATCATCTTTACAGATTATCTTTGTTTTAAAACTACCTCTTACTATAAGAATGTGTTGAAAAGTATTTAGAGCGATTACTTGAAACACCTTGGGTGTGAAACAAATTAAAGTCTTAAAATTTGTACTGATTTGACTTTAAAACAGAATAAACATGACAACGTTGTAATAAAATGAAAACGATCGTGAGAAAGGGCTTCTGGAAATGAAGTAACTTGCATATGGTTGCATTTTAAATAGATTACGGCTACATTATCATTAGAAATCGATTGTTATAAATAAAAGGTTCGACCAGCCCCACCTTCCTTTGGGAGTTTGTAATTGAATTAAGTACATATGTAATCAGAATTTTGCATGGGCGGAAGAACAAATATTAGTTAGATATGTTTTCCGAAATCTGATAAGACGATTTCCACGGTGTTTGATATATTTTGAAATATGCGTGGTTCGCAAAACCTTTAATTTGAAAAAAATGTCGGTTATTGCGTTGGCTGTTTTCATCAAAATTAATATGCATTTTCGATCCTGCAGATTCAGTAAGGATAATAACCCGAACCGCATATTGCGATGTTATGTACTTTTCTAGTAAACTTTCACTAGCGAAGTCGTAAAGGATGTGACTGCATTCACAGTAACATGGGGTATTTAAAACGAAACTTCTCTCTCTTTCAATCTCACACGAGAGCACATTTTAACACTCACTATCTAAGCGTTTGGTATTTACACCTTAAGAACACATACTTCAACTGGTTATCGACAGACACAAAATGTTTGAATTTTACCCAAATCCCATTTCTTACTTCTTTTTACTCCTTTTATTCTTTTCTTTCTCTGTGCTTTAAGTCTTTAATTAAACCCGCGAAAAATCGGCGTGCTCTTCTAGTCGAGAATGTCTTTGTTAAAATGGTTATAGCTGTTCACAATACTGCTCTATTATTTGTAATGTATACAGGTTTTTAAACGATTCACAGGTCTTCTATTTACTATTCTAATCATCAACAACTTTTCTTTTCATTATGCTTTCTTATTCTATTTTCTAGTTTTTATCATTCACAAGGTTTGAATGTATTTAATGTAACAATGTCAGACAAATTACTTGTATTTGTGTGAGCAACTTTATTATTAGCTACTATTTATCTGGCCACCCGAATAGCACTCCTTTAACAATGCTATTTTTCTATTGCAATTTTTCAAGGGGATCGTTTCAACCAGATTGCTCGATTTGGCGGGCTGACAAAAAAATTATATCAGAATAATACGTGACATATTTTGGCATACATTCGCATGTAAACTAATTCTGGGACGCAAAACAGCACCAGGATTGAGAAGCTGAGAAAATGCGCGAAAATTTGTATCATGGTAATTTTAAAACACTAGTGTCCTACGCTTTGTTCACTTTCCAGATGGTGGTCCAATATCGTTTCGTTGTAATTATGTGGCTTTTCTTCTGCAAAGAGTACAGGGTACAAAAATATAAAACCAAAATCCAGTGAACCCACGTTTCTTCGAATATTCGATCGTAGTGAAAAAAGCATTATCTGTAATCAGCGGCGCTTTGGAAGTTATTTCCAGATTTTTCGTACGAATTTTCGAGCACACCGAAAAATGCATTAGTCATTGCTGAAAGA